TGGACCGTACCGGAAAAAAAGGAACTAATGGCTCCGGTCTACGCAGGAGTGAGAGAAAAAATTCTGACACTACATTAATCACTTTGCCGGTGCTCTATTAATAATGTATACGTTACGACCGGCGGGGGTGTCCTTTCTACATAATCACGCGTTATTGTACTCCTTGTGGAGTTCTTGAAGCTGTCCTTCATCTTTTCATAACGAGCGGAAACTCTATTATTTAGTGAAGGCTAACGAACAATAGGATATTTTGTATTGTGTAATTTCATCAAAAAGAAATTTGTTGAAGTTTATTGAAAAGACTTTACGGGGCATTGATTTCATTTATTAAGGATAAAAAGGATTATTTTTGGCGTAAAAAGTTTTAAAACACTTATTGAGTGGTATTGATACTTCATCAAATGCTCTAAATACACCACTTTCTTATCGAATATCGCAAAAAGCAGAATTACCAATTATCCAGACTAACCAACCTCGTTGACAGAACATTTCGACCATTCGTCAACAAGTTTAAACTAAAACTTGGATTGACTGGCTTTGAAGTTGTCTTACTATGTAGGATTGGATTGGTTTACTTTATGGTTGGCTTATTTTGAAATACGGTTGGGTTGCATTGATTCGGAGTTGTATTACTTTGTGCTTAAGATGTTTTGAGGCTAGATCGACTTGGTTGGCTTATCCTGATTCACACTACATATAAAACTAAGTTAACTTTGATAAGATATGTTGATGAAAAGCACTAGGGTCTTTTAGTTTTAGAGTTATTTTAATTAGAAGCTTTTTTTAGCAATTAACACTGTGAACATCAAATTTGAATTTCTTGGCGACTTATCGAGCTAGAAAGTTAAAATTTGTTACAGTTGCTGCTTGAATATCCTTAAATAGAGTGCCATTGGCTATATCGGTCTATCTTATACAGCGTGTTCAAAAGTTTATCTACTGTTTTACCATATTTAATTGCAAAAATGTTAAAAATTTTAAAGAGAATCTTCAGTACATGTCCTTATAATTGGTATTAATTTATCAATACCATGCAAAGAATGGCAGATCTTGTTCATTTTTTCATTAATAGGCCATAAAACAAGACGATAAATAATTCTCTACCAAACATTATTTGTAAGTGTTCAAATATCTGCCCTCTGTACTTTATGCATAATGAAGCCGATTTACGACTTCGGCTTGCACATTATCTAGTGTTTCAGCAGAGATATTTCTAAAGCTTTCCCTTTTCCATTCCTCATATCTTCTTTCGTCGTTGGAATATTAGCGTACCACTAGTACTCAAGGAATTAATAGCAAAAGTACTCATAATAAAGAATTTTGTAAAATCAAATATATACCAGCACTAACAAATAAAATAACGAACATCATTAAAAAGTATGAAATATCCGAAATAAAATTCGCTAAATACAATAACAACAAAATCGGCACATTAATATCAAACATGAAGGACAAAATCAAAACTTTAGATAAAGTAGATACTATATACCAATTAAATTGCATTGATTGTAATAAAATATATATAGGGGAATCAAAACAACATCTTAAAAAACGAATACAACAACACAAATACAATACTAAACAAATAAAAATTCAAAACAAAACAGCTTTGTGCCAACATTCTGTAACTTTAAATCATAAGTTTGATTTCGATAAGATATTAACAACAAATAAAAACATACAAATAAGGAAAAATTTAGAGTCAATCTTCATAACAAAAAATAATAATAAAACAGTTAATTTTAAAACCGATGTAGGAAGAATAGGGGCACATTATGCGGATATTTTAAATAAATTAGTGATATAATAGATGGGAGAGAAAACAGGTTTCGGACAAAGGAATACAATTGTTATCTGACCTTGTATGAAAATTTCTCTTAGACTTGATTCGTAAGCATGATAAGATGTATCGGAATAAATTTAAGAAACAATTAATGATAAAAATTGATGAATAGTCTTAGGTAAGAATCATATTCTATAAACTAATCAAAAAAATCTTTTGTGATTTAAGTGTATGGAGATTGTTTTTCATGTTTGTAATAGTAATTATGTTATTTTTAATTTAGTAATTCGTGTTTCTTTAGATAAGAGTACTATTAACCTGATGATGGGAACATTTCCCGAAACGTCGTTATAATTGGAGTTTTAGAAATAAAGGAGGGAATGATGTCACAATTTTTATAGTAAAATATACCAAAGCCTCCATAAACTAAAAATTATAGTACCACTAGGGTTTTGACATATCCCCAAAGGAAGAAGTCGGGGGGAATTAGATCAGGTGATCTTGCTGGCCACGGTATTGGACCTCCACGACCAATCCAATGTCTTCAATATCCAATATTTAAAAAGTTTTGAAAAACGTCCCTGAAATAATGTGGAGGTGCCTCGTCGAGTTGAATTATCATTTCTTGTCTAGTTTCTAAATCTACATCTTCTGGCAACTCTTCTTCTAAAAATGTTTTGTAAATTTGTCCTGTCAGTACACCATCAAAGAAAAATGGCCCAAAAATTTTAACAATATTTTCATCAAATTCTTTATCTTAACATACCTAAATCTAACAGATAACTGTTTATTTTGTTATTCCAACTCCTTGATGCTTGTTTAAATCCGTATAGACATTTATTTAGTTTTAGTACACATTCTGATTTACATTTTACCCTCTCTGGCGCATTAATATAAACATCTTCCTTCAATTTACCATTCACCACCATTTACCAGTTTTGACATCTAATTGTTTAAAATAAAATCCATAATAAGTATCTATCGATAACAACGCTCTTATGGTTGTCATTCTCGCAGCTGACGAATAAACTTCTTGATAATCAAAAGAATAACATTGTGCGAATCCTCGTACTACAAGAGGTGCTTTATATCGAAATTCCAAGTTTTCTTCGTTTGGTTTAGACGTACAGACACATTTCGTTTGTAATATTTCCGCTTGTTTTGGTTTCTCTACTTCAGTCCATCTTTTATTCCTTTCAATCGTATCATTTTCTCTTTGCATACCCTTCATCCACAAATCCTTATCTTCTCTTTCATTTAATTCTTCAACACTATCGGGTACGTTTTCTATATAGGATAATACATACATTGAACGCCATGTACATTTCGTAATCATTGTATTTTTCTGGAAGTTTTCTTGTTCTTTTGTTTCCTTGCTTCTCCACATTTTCAATGTTGTTGTTTTCGGTATTTTCATCATCAGTTTGTTCATTTTCTGTTTCTTCTTTGTTTTCCCTTTCTTCATTATTTTCTCTCGTTTCATAATCTTCATCATTCATGTAAACTTCTCTTTATAATAAAAATCGTCTTCGTTGAATATTACATCTCTTGAAACTCTTATCTTTTGATCCTGTACATTTCATAAACAATATTCTGTATTTGTGTATGCAATCATTATACATTTCTTCGTTTTATTATCAAATTTATTTCTGAATTGTCTTGGGACATGTGAATAAGTTGTTGTTTACTAATAAGTTAGTTTAACGCCATTCCAAACTTCTGCTGGTGTTTTATTGTATAAGCTGTTGGTAGGACTTCTATTTAAAATAGTAGGCTTCTATATCATCTTTGACCTTTTACTTTAAAATTGCCACGTCCTCTATTCCATCCATTACTATAACTACCTCGTACCTCGGTCTTTTGATAATGTGCTCCTTGCAATCTTGGACAATATCTTTTATAATGTCCCTTCTTGTCGCATTTAAAGCATGATTCGTTTCTTGTAAATTGAAATGCAGCTGGTTTCTCATTTTCAACCTTTCTTTCCATGTTACCATATTTTATTTTTATTTTCTCCACTTCTGCTCTTAATTTTCCTATTGCCATATTCAATTTTAATTCATTTGCTGGTTTATTCTCCAAAATGGTCACCACCGTATCTAAAAATCTAATAGGAAGTCATAAAGTAAATACCTGACTGCTCATCGCTTCCATGTTGTATATGTTTTTCTGAAGTTTCTCCATAATTACCTCTCTTATCTTCTTCTTGATTGTTTCTGCCTCCTTAGGATCGATTTCTATATCCTCTTTGACCTTTTCCTCTAAAACTGCCAAGTCCTCTATTCCATCCATTACTATAACCACCTTGTACCTCGGTCTTTTAATAATGTGCTCCTTGCAATCCTGGACATTCTCTTTTATAATGTACCTTCTTGTCGCATTTAAAGCATGATTCGTTTTTTGTAAATTGAAATGCAGCTGGTTTCTCATTTTCAACCTTTCTTTCTATGTTACCATGTTTTATTTTTCTCTTTTCCACTTCTGCTCTTAATTTTCTTATTGCCATATTCAATTTTAATTCATTTGCTGGTATATTTTCCAAAATGGTCACCACAGTATCTAAAGATCTTGGAATTGCTAATAGGAAGTTGCACACTAAGTCTTCTTCTTTTAATTCTACTCCTGTGGAACTTAACTGCCACGCCACTTCTTCAAATTCTCTAGTGAACTGTTCAAACTCTTCAAATCTTTTTAACTTCATTGATATTAACCTTTTCCGAAGCATCAATTGGCTTTCATAACGTTCATTTATTTAACGTACATTTGTTATCCCGTTTTCTTGCATCAATTCTCTTGTTAGCATACTCTTTTTCTACGCAGTCGAATACCTCTTTCTCTTCTAATAAAATCAGCATTCTATACTTCCATGTGTGATAATTTTTACCATTTAATAGATCCACATTAAAAGTATTTTTGGTTAAGACGCTCGTCACCATTTTTCTTCTTGTTCTAACTTCTAACTTCGTGTTTCTTTCAAGCACTCTCTGTATACCTAGAGTTCACCGGATATTTGGAACAAACTGGGCTCATAATCTGTTGTTATTTCAAGTTAAAAGTAGACCAACTGTCCCAATTAATTTTCTTTATTCACAACTCATCATCTTTTATTACCTTTTTATTACCAACCTATAAAAGAACTAAAAACAAATTTATTACATGCAAACTATTGCCAACTTAAGAATAAGTAATCATAAAACAAATTATTCAACACTAACCAATGGACAGTAACCCTGGCGTTGAACCGCAATGGTTGAGTTGCTTTGGAGTGGGTTTTGGTTTAGTTTCCATGTTTAAACTACAGGGTGATTTATTAGCTCACCATCAAACTTTGACATATGATAGCTAATCCAATCATAAAAAAAAATGTTAATGAACATATGTCCTATTTCAATTATTTACGAAATTATAACACATTAAAGTTTTAATTTTTATGTCATAATTCACTGTTCCTTTTTTTTAAACATACATATTACAAATATTGTTCAAAATATCTTCCTTCTGCTAGAATACATGCTTCACAACGACAAATTAAAGAGTTCTTCAGCCGAATTAAAATGTTTGGTTGATTTCTTATTTCAGTAGCAGCCATTTGTATTCTGTTTAATAACTGTTCTCGTATGTTAATTTCCACTTGATACACAATTTGTTTCATATGACCCCATAAGTAGAAATCCAATGGATTAAGGTGGGGGATCTAGGTGGCCAAACAAATGGACCATTATTACCAATCCACTTGTGTGTAACCCGACAACTACTCTTCCGCGATGAGGTGGGGCACCATCGTGCTGGTACCACATATTTTGAATTACATTAAGAGGTATATCTTCAATTAAATCAAAAAGTGTATTGTTCAAAAAAATCTGTAATTTACAGCGTTCCAACGTCCATCAAGAACGTGCAAACCTTGTAAATTGTTGTTAAATATTCCACCCCAAACGTTGATGCTGAAACGTTGTTCAAATTTCGTTGGTCTAATCGCATACGGATTTTGTAATGCCCAGATATGTTCATTATTGTGGCGAACATCTGGACGCCAGAGAACTTTCTAAACCGTTCAAAAAAATCTCTCTCCGGTCATCTGGGCAGGACACCCTTTTGGTCCAGGCAAAGGGTTCCCGGAAAGCTTTCACCGGAGATGTTACTGGACGCTCTCCGTGGCGAACATCTGGACGCCAGAAAGCGTTCGAAACTATTCAGAAGAACTCTCTCCGTACATCTGGACAGCAGATCCTTTTGGTCCAGACAAGGACTTGAACAGAACTTTCACCGGGGATGCTACTGGACTCGGGGATAAAAGGAACCAGGATCGGCCCGGAGAGTTCAGTTACCATCAGTTATCAGTTAGCAGTTGCCATCGGCAGATCAGTCAGCAGTTACCTTTTTCGCGTCCGCACTTACATTATTATTATTATTGTTGTAAATAAAATTTTGTTGTTGAAGACATTGGTTTTCCTAAAACTTCCTCTCGCTACTATCAAAGCATTAGCCCCGCAATTATGGTAATTAGTTACACCATCTCATGTAAAACATGATTCATCTGTCCAGAGAACATTTGAAATGAAGTCATTATTTTGGGCAAAATTTTGACTTGCATGTATGTTGTGTGTATCTATTCTTCGAGTGCTGATGGAAGGAAGAATCAACGAAGAATCAATGACAGCATTAATTAAAGAGCTTCTTCGTTCTCTACATTAACTACATGCGGTCCAATAGCTTTTGCTGGAGAAGAATTGCCTGTTTCTCGAAGTCTTCTGAAAGAATCGCTAAAAACTGAATAATATGGCAAATGATGCTGTGGAAATCTTTCTTGATATTCTCGTTCTGATTATCGAGCATTTCCATTGCAAAAACCATACACAAAAATTATATCAGCATCCTCTTCAGTGCTATAAGCGTACATTTTGGGTTTCTTCTTGTATGTAATAATTAAACCTTACAGCAAACTGACATATTACAATGACAACTTTGTTTTTGTTGAATGTTTGATTTTACTAACTATTAATAAATTCATTGCAGAAAAGTTTAAAGTGTTATAATTTCGTAAATAATTGAAATAGGAAATGGAAATAGCTATCATATGTCAAAGTTTGATGGTGAGCTAATAAATCACCCTGTATAAAGGGGAGGATAATTGTAGCTTATTTTCAGGTTGGATTGACTTGCTTTGAAGTTGTCTTACTATGTAGGATTGGGTTGGTTTACTTTGTGGTTGGTTTTAATTACAATGAATTGACTTGTTTTAGAGTTGAAATAGCTTATTTTCAAATAGGGTTGGGTTGCCTTGGTTCGGAGTTGAATTACTTTGTGCTTGAGTTTCTTTGAGGCTAGATCGACTTGGTTCAGTTAAGTTGTCAAAATAATCAATTAGCATGGCTTGAGTAAGCTGCTTGTGAGATTTGCTTATTTTAGTGCTTTATGGCTAAAGTTTCTGGTTGCTTTGAGTCGAGTAACTTTATAGTTGAGTTCCTATGAAGTCGGGTTGTCTTGCTATGAGATTGAATTGCTTTAGATTTGGGCAACTGTATAGCTTATGGTTGTATGGGCTTACTATGTAATTAAGCCATTCTGTTGTTAAGTTGATAAAATTGAGTTTGGATCAGTTTTGAATTACAATGGTTTGGTTTAGTTTGAAATTACTCGTTCTGGAGTTGGATTGGCTAAATTTGTAGTTGAATTACGTTGTGGTTAGATTCAATAGCTTTTCGATTTGCTTGCTTGTTTGCTATTAAAGAATGATTCTTAAAGTAGATAACTTAAACTAACGTTATCTTTTTGAAAATCATTTCTTTTGAGGTAGGAAAAAATCTCTTTAAGATATAAATATCTCGTTAGCCGATTTGGCGTCTGGACCGTTTCCAGCTTCCTAATTAACGTTCAGTAATTAACCCGAAAAGGTTCGGGATAGGAGGAACCGGGTTAAGAGGAAACGAAAGAAACGGTCGAATTTAAACGTCGCATTGTCGTGTGTAATTACGCAAGTTTTCGAAAGTTGTCGGGAGTGGCGTTCCGGGGGCCGGTATAGTAGCGCAAAAGCTCCGGAGGTCGCCGAGACCGCCGACGCCATCGTTCCAGGATTTGATTGCATCCACTGTTTTTCCACGCGAACTTTAATGAGATTGGATTTTCCATTTGGACCCCGCGCGCACGACGCGCCCCGCTTTTGGATTAATTTAAATGATCTCATCAGGCTTCCGACCACTTTGCCGTCGAATGAAAGAATGACCTCTATCTTGATTTTTTTTTGTTGGTTTAACTGCCATTAACAAAACGTTAATTATCTTAATAAGATATTTAAATGTTTCGTGTCATAAATTTTTCGTATTGCTTTAAGCCCCCAATTAGTCTAATAAAGTAACGAGGAAAATTTACTGAAAAAGTGCGTTTTTCATTCTTTTTATAACATTTTTAAATCATTTTAATTAGAGGAATTAGTATTAACGCGTGAAATTGTTAAAACCGGAAAGTTTTTTCTATTCGCGGTATGAAAAACGGCGGTAGGATAAACGCTAACAAGGAGACCAGGAGAATTTAAAATTACGTCCGGAAAGGGAGAAAGAGCCGAGTTCTCCGACTACTAATAGTTTCCATAACCCAGTCACGTTTGGATAAGCTGCGACGAGTACCACCCACAAAACCATCACACTTTTTAATCTTGTTTTTACCCCCTTTTATTATTCTCCGTAATTTTGCGCTTTATTTCGAAACCGTAGTATCACGTGTATGTCGGTTTCCAGTTCCTCCAGACATAATGGATAATGACAATAGCGGCGACCTGTCAATATCCGAAGGAGACAATGCCACGTTATGGTGTAGAGCAACCGGACACCCAACTCCGAGGATTTCTTGGAAAAGGGAAGATAATCAACCTTTTATTATAAGAAAATCACCCAGAGAATTTACTAAAGGTAAGTTAACGAAAATTGTTTTATTAAAAAAAATTTTAATTAATATTTGTATCCATGTTGCAAGTAATTAAGTATTAATAAAACGACAAAAACTTCTTTCTTGCTATTTATTAATATTATGGGACTAGTTTCGGGCTAAATGTCTATCTTCAGCCAAATCTATACGCACAACATAGAAAACATTATACAAAAACCCAAGTAACATGGTCACCTTTACCTCGATCGATCTTATAAATTAACTAGTAGAGAGAGAAAATAACTTTATTCAGCTATCGACCGTTATAGGGTCTTTCCGCTCATATTAATTATAAAATAACAGTATATTTATGTTGAGTTCTTCGTATAATGTTTTAAGCCTTTCTTCGTTCGTTCGAGTCTTGCACATCTGATGTAGGGTGTCTTGCTCGGCATTTTTGGAGAATTTTATGCCTCACTGAGATTGATTTTATGCCTCATTGTTTATGTTGTGGAGTGGATTGTTCGGGTGTCTAATTTTTGTCAAAATTCGTAAATATTTTCTTTCTGCTTTCCTGATTACCTCCTTTGCTGACTCCGGGGAACATATAGTTGTGAGATGTCTATAATCGAGGAGTGATCGGCATATACTTTTATAAATCTGTGTCGCAGATTTTACAGAAATACCCCTGTCTTTGTAGATCAATGATCTAAAATATTTTGCTCGTCTTGTTATCTCTGTTTGTATTTTTTTGTAGTGTGCTTTGAATTTCAACTTGCTGTACAGGGTTATGCCCAGATATTTGACCAAGTTTGTAGGTTTTGTAATTGATGTGTCTGTCGTGATGTGCTGGGATTGATCGTTGATTCTGAAGTGTGGGATCAACAGTTGGAATTTGTCTGGATTCGGGGTGACTCTCCATTTGTGGAACCATGATGATATGTTGTTGTATAGCGTTTGGAGTGATTCTATTGCTATTTGAAGATTTTTCCCATGTAATATTAGTGTTGTGTTATCTGCATATTGAAGTATGTAGCTACCCGGATTAATATTTTTGGTGTCTGGATGGGTTGGAGGGTATATATCATAGCAGTAGACGTTATACAGAGTGTATTTTTTTGTAGTGTGCTTTGAATTTCAACTTGCTGTCCAGGGTTATGCCAGATATTTGACTAAGTTTGTAGGTTTTGTTATTGATGTGTCTGTCGTGATGTGGTGGGATTGATCGGTGATTCTGGAGTGTGGGATCGACAATTGGAATTTGTCCGGATTGGGGGTGACTCTCCATTTATGGAACCATGATGATATGTTGTTGTATAGCGTTTGGAGTGATTCTATTGTTATTTGAAGGTTTTTCCCATGTGATATTAGTGTTGTGTCATCTGCATATTAAAGTATGTAGCTATCCGGATCAATATATTTGGTGTCTGGATGGGTTGGAGGGTATATATCATAGCAGTAGACGTTGTACAGACTGTATTTTTTTGTAATGTGCTTTGAATTTCAATTTGCTGTCCAGGGTTATGCCCAGATATTTGACCAAGTTTGTAGGTTTTATAATTGATGTGTCTGTCGTGATGTGCTGGGATTGATCGGTGATTCTGGAGTGTGGGATCAACAGTTGGAATTTGTCCGGATTGGGGGTGACTCTCCATTTGTGGAACTATGATGATATGTTATTGTATAGCGTTTGGAGTGATTCTATTGCTATTTGAAGGTTTTTCCCATGTGATATTAGTGTTGTGTCATCTGCATATTGAAGTATGTAGCTATCCGGATCAATATATTTGGTATCTGGATGGGTTGGAGGGTATATATCATAGCAGTAGACGTTGTACAGAGTGTATTTTTTTGTAATGTGCTTTGAATTTCAATTTGCTGTCCAGGGTTATGCCCAGATATTTGACCAAGATTGTAGGTTTTGTTATTGATGTGTCTGTCGTGATGTGCTGGGATTGATCGGTGATTCTGGAGTGTGGGATCAATAATTGGAATTTGTCCGGATTGGGGGTGACTCTCCATTTGTGGAACCATGATGATATGTTGTTGTATAGCGTTTGGAGTGATTGTATTGCTATTTGAAGGTTTTTTCCATGTGATATTAGTGTTGTCATCTGCATATTAAAGTATCTAGCTATCCGGATCAATATAGTTGGTGTCTAGATGGGTGGGAGGGTATATATCATAACAGTAGACGTTGTACAGGGCGTATTTTTTTGTAGTGTGCTTTGAATTTCAACTTGCTGTCCAGAGTTATGCCCAGATATTTGACCAAGTTTGTAGGTTTTATAATTGATGTGTCTGTCGTGATGTGCTGGGATTGATCGGTGATTCTGGAGTGTGGGATCAACAGTTGGAATTTGTCCGGATTGGGGGTGACTCTCCATTTGTGGAACTATGATGATATGTTATTGTATAGCGTTTGGAGTGATTCTATTGCTATTTGAAGGTTTTTCCCATGTGATATTAGTGTTGTGTCATCTGCATATTGAAGTATGTAGCTATCCGGATCAATATATTTGGTATCTGGATGGGTTGGAGGGTATATATCATAGCAGTAGACGTTGTACAGAGTGTATTTTTTTGTAATGTGCTTTGAATTTCAATTTGCTGTCCAGGGTTATGCCCAGATATTTGACCAAGTTTGTAGGTTTTGTTATTGATGTGTCTGTCGTGATGTGCTGGGATTGATCGGTGATTCTGGAGTGTGGTATCAATAGTTGGAGTTTGTCCGGATTGGGGGTGACTCTCCATTTGTGGAACCATGATGATATATTGTTGTATAGCGTTTGGAGTGATTCTATTGCTATTGTCATCAGGAATGTATGTCTTTTTTGAAATAAGAGTTGTCTAAGAACGAATGGAATTGTTTGCGTTTAGACGGGTTAAGGTTAAAATCGATTATTATTATGATTTATTTGTATTATGCTGCTTTAGAGAAAATATTCTTTTCAAGAGGCTGATGTGGGTGGATGTACACAAGAAAGATGTGGATTTGTTCTTTATCGAAACGGATGGTGAAGTGGAGACATTCATTGGGAGGTCTATTAATCGATGGCGGGTTTGCTTCACCTAGAGGTATTGTTGGCTTTAGCAATATGAGGGATCCGCCTCTTGTCTTATTGGTTATGTAACCTTGTTTTTGAATTGTTTGCCGGTCTTTGTATTTAATATGTTGTTCTGCCTTTGATTTAGTTTTTTACGAATAGCATCATGTCTATGTCATTTTTTGTATATAGTTGTAAATTAGGTGTTATACTTTTATAAATTCTTTGGGAGCTGAGTAGTTGTTGATTTCCTCTCCGTTCGTCTCAGTTTCTGATAGTTGCTATATGTGCATTTGAATGCATTTGAATTAGTGTCTTCCATCTCTAGAGATGTTAAGGTGAAGTTGCTCGGTTGTCCGTGAGAGGGAATTGTTGCTGGCGGTGCGTCATAATCTAGGCGATCCAGCATTATTATATAAGCACGGTTGCCAGATATATTGACAAAGGTATCAATCTGGAATTGGTCCGCGAAACGAGCTCTTAGTTTTTGTATTAGTTCATTTCTGTTCTGATTTTCTGGTTTATTCAATTCGTATATGTATGTGTCAATTATGTAGTCATGGATTGATATCGGTTTATGAATTCTTGAAGTTTTGACTACTTTTTCATTGATTTCCTCAGTTTTTCCCTTCGATGGGTTTAAGAGGGCGTTTTTTGCATTTAAAAGACCATGCCTGGTGTCCTATTTCCCCGCAAGCTAAGCATGATACAGGGGATCTGTAGTGCAGTTGGTAATTTTGTGGTTTTCTTTGCATTTACCACATCGCTGTGTTTCTTTGCAAGTATCGGTGGTGTGCGTGAAACTTCTGCCTTTCCCACACAGAATGGAAGCTGATGTTTGTGTCTATAGTATAAACCTTCTCGTACAAGTTTTTGGAAAACGTTGACTTCACCTGTTGTGATTCTTATTTTTCTCGTTGGATTGTTGGTGGCGCGTGATATTATTCGTTTACAATATCTATGAAAGATAAGTTTGTCATTGAGGAAGTTACTAATATCTTCATCTACAATATATCTAGTTCCACATCGCATATGATTACGGAAAATGAGTTGGGTTTGTTATTTAGTGTATTTTTTGTTGTTGGTCTTGGTTTACTTTCTATAAAATCGTCGATAATTTGTTTTTTTTTAAATATGTTTAGTAATTTATATACTGTGTTTTTGTTTTCTTTTGGTTTAATTAGAAAACAAAATTTTTTGTTAAAGTTTTTGATTTTGGAGTAATTTCAAAAATCGTAGTGAATTTGTCATTAAATGAGTAAGTAATGTGTTTATTTGTATTTTCATTTACTTTTTGTGTGTTATTTGTTGAATTATTACCTGGTTTTATAAAATCCAGTTTTTGTGCTTTTCTGAATAACTCGCTTTGCCTTTGAGATGACGTTCCTGGAACGCTATGTTGCAGATTTTTCGTTGGTGTTGTTTTCAGATCAGGTCTCTTAGTTTGTGTTGATGTAGTTCCTCGTTTGGGTCGTCCACGTTTCCGGCCTCTACCTACGAAAGAGTATGACCCCTCCGTGTCACTCATTACGTGAGTAATTTAAATAATTAACTTCTTAAAAACTCCAAACTTTTTAATAAAACACGTCCGTATTACCCCAAATATGATTTTGAACTATTAACCACTATTTATAACAAGATAGTTTTACCATTACTACCTTTTTGAAAGTAAGTGATCATGTTAATTGGGTTTTTGTATAATGTTTTATATGTTGTTCATATAGATTTGGCTGAAGATGGGCTAAATACCCCGAAACTAATCCCATATATATTAATAAATAACAAGAAAGAACTTTTTGTCGTTTTATTAATACAAAAAAAATTGATGTCAAAATTCGGCTTTATTAATTTGTACCGTGGTTAAAAGAGAAACGTTTCACAATAGAACCTCACCCCGTCCTTTATAACGCCAACATAGAGAAGTCAGCTTTGTCCAGAAACCCTTTTCTCCCTTTGATTGCGACGTTTAATAAATCCTACCTCGCTTTCAGAGCAGC